TACTACATGAAAATGAAAATTAATGAATACACTGTGTACAGTAATTTACCTGATAAGACAGACCTCAGAAAAATACTTTATGAGAGCTTTTATACTTTTATAAAGCTGTCTATAATGAAAATTAATTAACTAAAGATTTTTTTGTCCTGCCAGGGTGTGGCCGAGTTATCCGGAGTTCCGGGTTATCGAGAGCCGAGTTTTCTAGGTTCTACTGTAGATACATTTTGAGCCACAACAAAGCCTGGCGGGGTATGCTAGTACTGTATATGTACAGTACAATAAACATAATTCTGCTATTTGCTTTCCTTCCTAGTGTAGCAATTTTAATGGCCAGAAGTGTACTTTGGTGGATCATTTAAAAACTGTTAATTGACAAAATATATGAAATCAAATGATATGACAAATCAGATCAGATTACAATAAACCTTCGGGATTTCTAAAAAAACATATAGCAGAAGCTAATGCTAAATGATACTTATTACTTTTCATGCATGCCATAATAATAATTTGCCTTTTTTTTAATTCATATTGAACAAAATTGAAGCTGCAATACATAAGTTATAACGAGAATTGAAATGTCACATATAATTCAAATAAAATTGAATTCTAATCCAATTTTTGACACCTAAAACGCCACAGAAAAACATTTTTCTGTATTTTCAGGCGTACTGTACGATTAAAAATAAAGAAAAATGTTCTTCCTATCGTTAGACCGAATTCTATTCAGAATGAATGTCATGTAAAAGGAACGTGTAAAAGGAACTTTTTACACGACATTCATTCTGAATAGATTTCGGTCTAACGATAGGAAGAACATTTTTCTTTATTTTAAGATTAAGAATCTAATAAAACAAGAAAAATCATTTTATTTGTAAGATCGTTACATAAGTATTTTTAATTTGAATAATATTTCGATATATAATTATAATTTTTCAACAGAAATATTGAAATATGTAAACTTTAATTAGGATTTTTAAAAATTCATTTAAGAATTTATCTTACATAAATAGTTGCTACTCTTTCATGAAATTCAGCAGCAATGATAGTGTAGATGGAAGTTTTAACAAAAGCCGATCCAAACCCTTCTGCTATTCTTACAGCGAAGGCAAGAGCTATAAAAGGGGTACCAGGTGGACTCAAATCTAAGATACTATGAAAAATCGTGGCAATTTTTCAAATTATTCATCATTTTAAAAAATAGTTTACCATCGAATAAAGTAGGCCTACTATAAAATGTACTTACCCAAACAAAATAGTTGCTGCACCAACTATAAACATTCCTGCATTTAACATGAATTTAGGAGTGAAATAACCCATCTGTTAAAGTAAATAGCACAAAAAAAGTTATTTTTGAGTTGCTTTATGAAAGGAATTACACAGATGTTTAGTTTACAAAAATCTATAAACTGTTTGTTTATTTAACACTAAAATATTTTAATATTAAGATGCCTGAATCTTACCAATTTTCCACAAAGCGGAGAAAATATAAACATAGTAAGTTGGTATACACCAAATATCATACCATACTGCGTGGGGGTTGCACCTTTCATTTCAGCCTAAAAAAAGGAATTGTCAATTATGGTTAATAAAATATTTTATTTGCGTTAACAAAATTAAAATAGTATAATTTATTCTATACTTTTTTATATCTTATAAATGATTAATCAATACAAGTCACTAGCACATTTATAGGCCATATAAGTAATCCCAATATAAAATCGTACTGCCGGTTTATGTTACCAGCTTAGAGGTATGAAGGAGTACATGTCGAGAGTTGATATTCGGCACAGAGTATTAAGTGCCCAAATCATTTGCGCATAAAAAAATCCAGACTCGTAGGTAGTCAGGGGATCAAGAACCGAGTAAAAATAAAATACAAAATGGCGACTCTCTCTATAAACAGGCAAACCGAAGTCAGATAGTGAGAGTACCACCCACAGTCATTCTAAGAAGTGAACTCTGACCTTAGGACCGAACACGTAGTTTCTTCTATGTTAAATAAAATTTGTAATCTAATTTTGTAAATTTGGGAGTACTTCAAATATGACGTTAAAACGGTTTTATGTCGTTACAAGTGGGTTTTTTAACATTATCTAGTATAGTAAATCGTGGAACCGATAAAAATTTGATGTGTAGGGCAGAGGACGCCACCGCGTGATCTTCGCCCTTTGACCTCACTTTGCTCCTAAACTCTAACGAAGAGAGACATCTTTTTAATTCATTTAGTTAACCTTTCGATTCGACAGCCGTGCCGAATCTTGGATTTATATTATGTCTCGACACTATTGTAAATATCTCGTAGCCGATACAAATTAAGTAAATTATTTGCCTGGATAATTTGTCAGTTAATTTTTACCGGCAGAACACGTGATCGAGGTCAACGTGGACATCACAGACAAGGTAGGACGTGCCACGTACAGCTTTTAGCCACGCCACTAAAGACGTTATATTAGGGTTGTCGTTACATCCAATGACGTTATAATCGGGTTAAACTGTATATTGTTTGTGCAAAATAATAAAATAATTTCGGACGATACAATAGCCACGATTATTTTTTCAAAAACGGGAAATTTTCGTTACGCATCGAAAAAAATTCAACCCTGGCCGTCACGCAACGAAAAGAAATATCTACATTGAATAGGATATACCTGGATAGGTTAATTTTACCAAAAATTCATTGTGGACGACCTCACGGTAGTGACCGGCGAAGTTTGAACGATCGCGCTCAAAACCAGCGATACGAAAGAAGATTAGACAATGAGAACGAGACCCGCTTGAGCGTCAAAGTGATTCCGCTTAGTAGTGAGTCTCCGAGACATAGTCTTGTCCCAAATACGGCTTTGCCGTTTTACTTGTGTGCACAATGCCGGCCGAGGCAAGTTTTAGGATGGAGCGAGATCCTTTTATGGCGCTCCCTTGGTTGCCCCTAATAAAAGGCTGGTATACACGGTAAGGAAATCCTCAAAAGATGTGCTTAACAGACGAGAAAAACTCAGATATAACTGGCTGGATCGAACATAGTAATTTACAAAACTTATTAAAATATCTCCCAACGTATAAAGAATTATTTTTATTTAAAAATGGATAGATAGAAAAAAAATCACGGTTAATCCTCAAAGGATTTCCTTACCGTGTATAACAGCCTAAATTTTAATTTTCTTTACCACTGAGGCGCCCCCTAGGACTTAGCGCCTGGAACATCTGCTCCGTTCGCCTTATGGTAGGGCCGGCTCTGTGTGTGCATTATGAATGGGTCTGATCCACAATGGGGTAGGTCATTATGAGGGATAGAGATTGGACTGTACTCCTCACGATAACGTCGAATCTGGAACCCAAATTTAGTAGGCTAACATCTTATACTTCCACCATCTCTAATATCTTAGATAAATTCATAACTTCCAAATATTTTTCTTTTGAACTCTAAATCTATTTTCGAATTACAAAGTAGAGTCTCGCTAATCCGGATCTTTTGTCACTCAATTATCCGACATATCCTCCAGTGTGATCACCTATGCGCTTCTATTTCCGTGAAAATGTCAGTCATGCCATATGTGGTTTTCCTATTTACTTTGATTTCATTTCTGTGTACAGTATTGTATTTCAACACACCACATTATTTGTTCTTCTCCCTCCAAAAGGAATCAGTACCGAAGGGCGCCAGATCACGTCACTCATTTTCCTTTAGACAGGCTTTAATTTAGCAAATTTTAACAGGTTAATATTTAATAATTGTAAGTAATAGAGTAAAATGAATGTAGAGAAGACTTGACTTATCAAAGAAATAAAATAAAAATTTTAAGCCTACGTACTCTCAGTAATTCGTAACCCATGGAAATAAAGCAGATCGCTAATCCGGCTAAGTTATATTTAATTGTTACACGTTAAATATTAAAATATTGTTAAAATATAAAAAGGAAGAAATGTTGAAAATTGAACCGCCATAGTTATTGCAAAATTATACTGATAGCATCTGGTCACCATTATTATTTTCTTATTGTTTTAGATTCTGATAAATATCTGATTATGTAGCAAATTGATAAATATCGAAAAACAGATTTTTTTTATCTTCCATTAATTCTGGAACTGGAATAGATAGAGATTCTTTTGTTCTTGATAGAGACTACATTCAAATTTGAAAAGTTCTAATTTGGATACAAAAGCTTTCACTTAAAATAAAAATTTATTTAAGAATAAACTAATAGCCTAAGTCATTTTCAAGAATTCAACTGTTTACAATTAGTAAATTTTGTATACTTTTAAAGTAACGTATAGTTTCTATTTGTTATTCTATACAAAAGTTTAAAAAATAAAAATATATCCAGTTTAAAAAAAAATTATCGTATATAGAAACTGAACAAAATGGCAAAAGTTATCAATATTTGTCTTCACATTCTTTTATTACATTTAATAAATATATTTCAATATTCTCTTATAATAGACAAAAATTTAATATTGGGATGAAAAACCTTTGTTTAAAAATAAAAATCTTACTAAACTAATGAACCAAATTTATTAACCTGTTTATCAAAAACATGGAAATTGTTAAAACAAAGGCACAGTTACAATCGTTTTACTTTCATAGCCGAATTATTATAAAGCATTCATTTATTACATATGTTTCATGCTATCCTTGCTTTATAATCAGTTATACAATGAACCAATATTGACGAGACTTTTCTAGTTTAAATTATAGCTCTAAAAATAGTTATATAAAATAATATACAAATTAATTAATAAAGTATAACTTTATTATGTAAGAATTAATTCTTATGTAATTTTACTGTAATTATATAAGAATGAAACAGCAATTATTTCATAGCATGTTCTATTTGACAGCTCATTGAAATTTTTATTTTAAATACTACTAAACAAATATCTTTCATTTAAATCTCCGTTTTTGAAACGGAAATTTATTATCTGACAAAAAATAATATAATTATGCAAAATTTTTTATTAAAATTATAACTAAATTTACTGTAATAAATTATAATCCAGAAAGCAGAGAGAGAAAAATATTTCAAAAGTGTTCTAGTTTTAGTTATATATTAAATATAAAATTGGGTTAATCGATAAAAAATCTAGGCTTTTGACTTACCTCATTTAAAAAAAAGTAAATATTTTGATTAAAATAACCAAAACAAACAATTTATCTTGAAAATGTAGCACTCATTAACAGAGAAACTTGTTTATAAAACAATGATAAAAATATATTTTTTTTATGAAATTCAGACTAAAGATATAAATAACGAATAATTTTTATTTCATTGATAAACTTTTATATATATCATCTACCTTATAACAATAAAATATATGTATTATATCCAAAATAGAGAAAGATAACTGTAACAAACTACGTAACTGTTATCCTTCAAAAAATACGTCCCGATGAAGAAGACAATAATTTCTTTCCCGAGTCTCTTATATATTACAGAGGGAAAGTATGGCGATCGGTCAAAAAATGATCCCCCCAAGATTTTTTAACTTTTGGACTCAGGGGAACCTGAAACATTCGGTGTTATTTCTGTATGTATGGATATTAGTGTAATAGCACGATTTTGTTCACTCTTTTGAAGCTTAATAACTCCTATGATTTCTGTAGAAAATTTCTGAAATTTTGCAGGGAGGTTTGTGTATTAGGGGAATTGTTGCTATTAAATTTTGGTGGTTAAAGGTCGAAGAGGTGGGGAGATAAAGGGAGGTCGTGTTTATCTCCAGCAAGGTCGGATTTAATGATTTTACTAGTTATTAGCTTGATTTACATTTTTTTTTTATATAAAACCCATCTCTATCCTCAAAATTCTCGTTTTGCCATTCTATAATAATTAAAACTGTAAAAAGTTTTAAAATAAAATATCAAAACAGATGGCGCCACATATTCAGTTTTAAATGTTGCCGGGAAAGTTAAGCAACTCGTTGCTGGATTTTTTTAAATTTTATTTTTTCACTAGCTGAAAGGACCCGCTTCGCTGGGTTTTTATTTGTATGTAATATAGTTTTTTTAATATATATAAAAGACTGTTTTTCTAAGTAATCTAGAATCTAGCTGCAAGGACCCGCTTCGCTGGGCAAAAAGTAACGATAGTGAAGATTAAGATAATTACATTATAGCTAATCTTACCCGTTTTCACAGAATGCAAGAATTAGGTCNGGCGTTAGGCACCATCTCTTAAGTAAATTAATAATTAAAATTAAATAAATAAATTATTAAATTAATTTTAGAACCTTCTGGAATAAAAGAACTGGCCTGGGACGGGGCTTGAACCTGTTGTTGTTTTTTATATATATATATATATATATATATAAAACTACACATCGCACGTGAATGGTGTTTGTATGTGGTAGTAGCCCCAAGTCTCCATTCGTGCACCAGGGGGGTTGCGTCTCGATAGCTGTAAGGGTGCGGGAGATATGAGGCTGATGAAAGTGGTTGAAAGTGGTTGAAAGCCGCTTTCTATTTCGAATGTTTTGTTCGAATTTGTTCGAATTAAATTCGAACATAAAATTCGAATATTGGTTCGATTATATATATATAATATGAATATTTATATAAATATGA